CAAGCGTGGTCGACCGAAGAGAGAATGGGCAACGGAGCTGCACAGAATCACCTCGTCCAGTCTCAATTCGCTTGATCTGCTCCTACGGTGCATATATGACCCTGTGCAATGGGATGCTTTTGGGAAGCGCCACACGCAACAGTGCGTCGAGCCAGACGGGCATCTGTGACTTGTTGCTCTGTTCCCCCCTCCCCCTCCCCCTCCCCGCCGCCGGGCACGTTGTCAATTGTGCGACCGCCGACGCGCTGCCGCTCCCGCTAAGCGGCGATAGCTGGCTGGCATTGTCTTCTTTCGCCACGCGCTCCGGCGTATGGCGAAGAATGCTCCGGGAGGGGGGAAGTAAGAAGGGGCGGGCCTTTTCAGAAGACTCGGAAGTCCCTGGGCGTCCTGAGAAGTTCTCTAAGCTTCCCCAGAAGACGCAAAACAACTCCCCCAGAAGACACAAAACAACTCCTCAGAAGGCGCGAGGGCTGTTGGCGAGTGAGCGAAAAAACGTTAGTAGAACATTCTTCGGCAGGCCTATGGGCGAGCTGGGACGCTCCGCCACTGCTTGACATTGACCGTCGTCCACAACCCAGGCAGGGACCGACCGTCCCGCCATTCCTGCAGGCCTACCACGACATGTTCTTAGAACCCCAAAATGTTCGAATAACAAAAACAGTGTCTTAGAACATAAACCCTATGTGTTAAAACGCGACGATATCAGCCAGAAATGTTCTAAGAACATGTCGTGCAAACCACAAAAGGTTATTAGAACATTCTTTGGCAGGCCTGTAGGCGAGCTGGGACGCTTCGCCACTGCCTGACACTGGCCGTCGTCCACAGACCGAGCGGCCCTCACGGTCGGCGCCTCGACTGCATCGGAGCAGGGACACCCGAGACGACGGCGGCCCTCCCGCCCTGCACAGATCCATGCAGCCTCGGTCCTCCCCGGGCTCCTCCCGCGGTCCATCCTGACCCGATGCTTAGGCCAGGCATGGCCTCATGCAGGGGGGTCTTTGGACGAAACATAAAAAACACGCAGACCCCAAATCTCCAGAACACGTAGCCAACAAATCCCCAACGCGGATCCAAGAAATCCGCGCGGAGCACCAATTGCTTATGTTTGTTTGACGTTTTTTCTTCTTCGAAGGAAGAAAGACACGGCGAAAAAGGAAACCAAGGCGCAGGGCGCAACGAGGAAGCAGGGAGAGCACGAAATGCCTTCGTGACCTCTGGTGCGCGGTCCTAGGAAGCGCCAGGGGAGGCCAGGCCAAAGCGCAACCCGGTCGCGCCATGACCAGTGCTGACGGGACTCCGACGAAGGTGCAGTCAACCTGCACAATAAGGGCGCACGATGTCGAGCAGTGGCGAAGAGTCCTGGCTTGCCTGAAGGCCCACCAAAGAAGGTTCTAAAAACCTTTTGCGATCTGCATGAAATCCTCTTAGAGCATGCCTGGCTGAGACTCTCTTGCTTTAAAGCGTTGGTTCTGTGTTCTAAGAACATTGTTTTGTTCTTAGAACATTATTGGGTTCTGAAAACATGACGTTGCAGGCCTGTAGAAATGCCCGGACGGTCGGTCCCTGCTCAAGCGAAAAGGATGCAAGGGCCTTGGGAGGCGATGCTGAAACTTTGCGAGCGGGACGCGGCCAGTGAAAGCGGCCAAGGTGTGCCGAAAGGGGAAGGATATCAAGGTCACCTTGGAAAGTCGTTTATCCTTACTATGCGGGTTGACTGTAGGTGGCGACATCCGAAAGAGCATGTGTTGCCGCTGCTGGCAGAAAACTGGGGGGGGTCACTGGGGGTTTCCAAAGCGTTCCCTCTCCCCACCCCTCGAAAACCGGGAGAGGTCACTACCGGTTCGAACCCCCCCCCTCCCCCCTCCCTCCCCAGTCCATCATGAAAAGGGAGGGGGTCACTAACGGTTCTACCCCCCCCCCTCCTCGCTGCCGAACCCCCCTCCTCCTCGCTGCCGGCAAACTACTCCCGCTCCTAGGGCCAGTGGGACTATGGTGGGGACAGTGGGACAGTGGTGGGGATGGTGGTGGGGACAGTGGTGTGGGGACAGTGGTGTGGGGACAAAGGGGACAGTGTGACAGTGGTGGGGACGGAGGTGGTGGGGACAGACAGTGGGACAGTGGTGGGGACAGTGCGGACAGTGGGACAGTGGTGGGGACGGTAGTGGTGGGGACAGCGCTGATGGCGGTGGTGAGAACGGTGGTGGGACAATGGGACAGTGGTACAGTGGGGAAGGTGGTGGGGTGGGACACTTCAGTGGGACAGCGGTGGGGACAGTGGGGACAGTGGTGGGGACAGTGGGACAGTGGTGGGGACAGTGGGGACAGTGGGGCGAGTGGGACCGTGGTGGGGACAGTTGGGACAGTGAGATACTGGACTGGTGGGGGCACTGGTGGGGACAGTGGGGACAATGGTGAGAACAGTGGGGACAGTGGGACAAAGGAAGGGACAGTGGGGACAGTGGGAACGTGGTGGGGACGGTGGTGGGGACAGTGGTGTTTGGACGATGGCACAGTGGCGGGCAGTGGGGACAATGGGACAGTGGTGGGGACGATGGTGGTGGAGACAGTGCTGAGGACGGTGGGGAGGACGGTGGTGGGACAATGGGACAGTGGTGAGGACAGTGGGACAGCTCAGTGGGACAGCGGTGGGAACAGTGGGGACAGTGGGGACAATATGGACAGTGGTTGGGAACAGTGGGGACAGTGGGGAGAGTGGGACCGTGGCGGGGGCAGTGGGGACAGAGCGACAGTGGTGGGGGCAATGGTGGGGGCAATGGTGGGGACAGTGGGACAGTGGTACAGTGGTTAGGACGGTGGTGGGGACAGTGGTGGGTGAGGGCGGTGGTGGTGACCCCGGAGTCGTTTGCCGGCGGCGAGTGGGGTGGCGGGGGGTTCGAACCGGTAGTGACCCCCCTCTGGTTTTCTGAAGGGGGGGGTCGAACCGCTGGTAGTGACCCCCCCGGTTTCCGGAGGGGTGGGGGGGGTGGGGGGGAGGGGGTTTGCTGGGGGAAAGGAGAGGGGAGGGGGTGGGAGGGTCCGAGCAGGGTGGGAGGGTTTTCAGAGTACCCCCACCAACGATCGATTCTCCTGAATCGCAGGGGAAGGGAAAGCGTTCGGATTTCGCCATGTGTTCGACGAACTCCGAACCCTACCCCCCCGCCAGTCGAACTGCCGTTCGGCGAGGGGAAGGTTCGAAGTGCGCTGTCGACAAAGATCACCCTTATATCTTGCGCGTGCAGTCAGATGCCGTCAGAACGATGGTGTCTGAGGATTCAAGACCCAGGATACAGGCCTCCCAGATGGGGTCCGAGAAGATGTTGGTCGGGCATGTCCTCCTTTAGGCGGATTTTGGAAGAACCAAACATCAAAATATGCTCAAACATAATCAGACATAAAAATATAGTTCCCATACTGTGATTTTACCTACTTCGGAATATTCCTCCTGTTGAGGGACAGGCCCGACTTAAGACAAGCCGGGGTCGACGATGCATCGAAGATGCATCGGCGACGTCGGCGGCGCATCGGCGCCGACGGCGTGGAGACAATCGGACTCCACGTCGCGCCGCGTCGCCAATGCATCGGCGATGCGGCGCGATCCTCCGACCACATCTACTCTGACCCCATCTGGGAGGTCTGGACTAGAGACGCGCCGACATGAATCGGCGACGAGCGAGGGGGGGAAGCGAGAAGGGGCCGGGCCTTCTACGAAGACTCGGGAGTCCCCCGGCCTTCTCAGGAGTCTTCCAGGCCTTCCCCGAGGACACAACAAAAAAAACTGCCAGACAGCGCGAGGGCTCCTGAGAAGTCCCGCCGCCTTCTGAGAAGGCCTTCCTTCTCCTTCTCACTTCCCCCCCCTCTCTCTGTCTCTCTCTCTCTCTCTCTCGCACCGCCGTCGGCGCGGCCGCGGACGAGTCGAGGCTCGGCCGCGGGCGCGCAGCCTAGTCCTGGGAAGCCGTGGGCGTCTCTCTCTCTCTCTCTCCTCCGAGTGCAGAGAGGCGCCGAGCCTCCACAGAACCAGAGAGAGATTGCAAAATAAACCCAGGATTACAAAAAAACCCAGGATTGCAAAAAAACCTCTTCGAGGGATTGCAAAAAAACCCTTCGAGGGTTTTTTGCAATCCTTCGAGGCAGAGGCACACGGGACCGGGCGCCTCGGAAGATCGCCCGTGCGCGCCCGGGGCCAGAAGGGGGCACGCCGCGCGCGGCCACAGGCGTGCGCCCCGAGGACGGCCAGAACCGCAGCGGGTGCGAGCGGCGCCCTTCCGGAGGTCGCCGCCGTCGTCGTCGTCGTCGACGTCGCCGTCGTCGTCGTCGTCGTCGTCGTCGTCGTCGTCGCCGTCGTCGTCGTCGACGACGTCGTCGTCGTCGTCGTCGTCGTCGTCGTCGTCGTCGTCGTCGTCAACGTCGTCTTCTCGACAACTCGGGGGCGGCCAAGAGGGGGGCGTCCAAGAGGGGGCGGTGCATATCGTGACCGGCGGCGTGTGGGTGGCCCAGGGGGGGGGGGGCTGGGGACGTAATGCAATAAGAGGAGGCGCCATGACATCTGGGGAGATCTCATGGCCCACGCCATGATATCCACCCCCCCTAGTCATCACCCCCCTCCTTGCCGACCCCGAACAACGTCGGCCCTGCCCGCAGGAGGTCTGGACTCTTTCTCCCCAGGACCGATGAGCGTCGAGTATCGTCGATGCAGCGTCGACGAAGCGTCGATACAGCGCCGATGCGGGTCGACTGGCGTCGATGAGCGTCGGTTCGCAAGAGCCGGCAAGATGGTCTGGGAGGCACCCTATGAGTTGCCACTAGAGCTTGGAGGTTCGGGCTCCTCCCGAATCGTTCTTTGGTGGTCCCGAGGCCCAGCAAGGCCCCCCCAAGGGCCGAAACTAGCGCAAGACCTCCCGTCGCGATGGTTGGTTCGCAACGCGAGGGGGCCTGGGTTGCGAAGACGGCCCGTCGCCGCGAGCGCCGCTCTTTGACTGTGGCCGATGCGCCCCCGCGCGGTCCTTGATGTCGAGGCCCCGGGCCTGGAGGAAGCGGTCGAACTCGGGCCTCGACATGCAGGCGGCGAACTCCTGCGGCGGGGCGGAGGCCGCCCGCCGCGGGCGGGGCTGGGGGCGCCCGGCTCGGAGGGCGCCCGCGGCGGGTCTGGACCGTCGTGCGCTCTGGAAGCAGCAGTCCCAGGCCCCCTCGCGTTGTGAACGAATCGCAGCGGGAGGTTTTTCGCTACGTTCGGCCCCTCGGGGGCCGTGTCCGGGCCTCGCGACCGTCAAAACACGACTCAGGATGAAAAACTGGTCCGGGGGACGCACCTTTGGGGGCCAACGTTGTGAAAAAAATCACCACGTCGGGGGTCTGGGTTAAAGGGCAGAAAATACACCCCCATAGTAATCACCCCGACACGAGAGACCGTTTAATAAAAACACAAACGGGAAGAATCGAACAGGGCTGTGCTGTTTAGTAAACGCCCAGGGCCGTTCAGTAAATGCGAATTGTCAGGTCCGGTTGGTTTTTCTCTTCTGAACCAGGGTATGCATTTACGGTTTTATTTCTCCTGTATCAAATAAGTTGCAACGCTATGTGTTTTGTTTACGATTCCAACTCCGCTGTTTTACCGTATTCGGTAACAATGATGGGGACATGGTCCAAATCACAAGTTTGAATCCCGGTCCGAACCCTTCGGCGACCAAGGTTTCCCATGCTGTTGTGGTGCTCTTCCCCACAACATAAGTGATGTTCTTATTGTCGAAAGACACCCCGCGCAATCCTCACACACCTTCTTTCAATCATCACCGCTCGCACGCATCATCACTGTCACACCATCACCACCCTCATTATCACCATCACCGTCCCGCCACGACCATCGACCGCCATTGTAAGTCATCCGCATTATCCTCATCATCATGGAGGTCATCTGCACCGTCATCCTCAAAATCATCAACACCATCGTCAGAGTTACGGTCACCATCATCATCCCACCCAATGACCAGCTCACAATCACACCGCATGTTTGTTATCACCATCGGATCACCACCCGATCATCACCATCGTCATCATCATCATCAACATCATCACCTGGTACCATCATCACCACCATGACCAACATCATCACTACCGCGCACAATCGCACACGGGAGACTCATGCGGGAGTGAATCTCGACTACGTTCTTAGCGGGAACCTTTTTCCCGATTGGATTAACGCTTCATGTTGGCAGACCGAGCGGGCCACCGGAATCCTGTACCTGTCGTCACTTTTGGGGTACTTCAAACCTGAATGCAGAGGAACTTTCGAACGCTCGCTTCGTCTGTGAAGGGATAGCGGCTGCCCTCCCCCATATGGGGCCCGCGCTTCCTGTGGGTAATCCGACAGGGTCCTCGTCGTCCTGTAGTTCTGGGGACTTCCCAGCCAGAAAAACGGTGGCGCGCGGCTTCACAAATGCTCCAGTCGACCAGGAGGTCGCCAAGCAACTGCTACAAGGTACCGGGGTCGCTCACGACGACGGCCACGCCCTGGCGCGGTCGCGAAGTTTCCTCATGTTCAGGCCTAGCCAGCAGGAGCTCACGTGGCAGAGCTCAGGGCCGCACGCCGTGCGCCGCTCGGGGTTCACAACGGCGCACGCGTCCGACTTCGCCTCCACGCTGTCGCAGCGCCACACGCTGCACAAGGGCGTCACAATCGACTGCGCCACGGGCAAAAACGCTGGCCGCACGGGCGTGTCGGACGAGCAGTGGTGGCTACACCTCTACGCCATGATCTCCCGCACCACGTGCATGGGGAACACGCGTCTCCTTCGGCCGTCCACGCGAGAATTCCTGAAGCGAGGGCCGCCGGCATCCCTGCGGCGCTCCAGAAGTTCGGCGAAAGAGCGGGGAGTTCCAGGGCAGAGGCGGAGCAGCTCGCGGCAAAGCTGGGGTTCGCGCTGCCTCCCGCCTGAACACGGCGGCTCGCAGCCAGCTAAGGCCCGCGATTTTTGTCCCACCAGCTTGATATAGCGTCCCTGCGGCCCGATGGGTTTGTCCCAACGACCTGACCCGCGGGGTTGTCCCAACGGTCTCGTCCACTCGGTCGTCTAGACTGTTTCGTGATCTGGCTGTCGGCGAACGCGCTCGCGCCGATTGAGGTGGCGGCGGCGCCAAGGAAGGATAGACGTGCTGACAGGGCGGGTACATGGGATAATGAGGAGGCGGAGGATAAAAGGCGGGGCGAGACTGAAGAAATGCAGGCAGATCTAGCTGAACTTGCACGGGATTGCGGTCGGAGGGGGAATGAATGTAGTTCGAGGGGTGCCTGATAAGATACCTATACGACCACCCATCGGGTGGTAAGGAGGTAGGTGGGGGGGAGAAAAAAAACAACTGACGACAACTTCGATGGCGGTGGTGGTGACGATGCTGGTGATGCGCCATCGAGTTGACGACGACACGTGGTGACGACGCTGCGTCGCGATATGGTTCCACTACCGATGCCACTCGATCGAGCTCATCATCGAGACGCCACCAGGGCACATCGAGGCCGAATCAATGCCACCACTCCTGTGCTGTTATAGTTGGTGCTGAGTGTGATGGCTGGCTGCTGATGGCAAGGTGATGGCCGCAGTGGTGATGATTGCGGTGGCGACAGCAACGGCGGTAATTAGTGCCGAGTACAAGCGGAACACCAGTGGAACACAAATAAAAGCCAACCGATAGTCAAATCGCCTGGCCGGATCTGTGTGTGTGTGTGTCTATCGGACACCAAGGGACACCAATCGGGACACCAATCGAGACACTCATCGGGACACTCATAGGACACCAATCGGGACACCAATCGGGACACCGACGAGACACCGACGGGACTTCGACGGGAAATCAATCGCTCAAGCTCAGTAGTCGATCCCGTGGCCGGTGATGCTGACATTGCAAACCGCTTGGCGTGTCGGGTTCTCTGCGATCCACCCCTCCAAGCCTCACTATGGTCACCACCAAGACACCATCGAGACATCATCGAAACACCACCAGGACACAGTCAGGGCACCCATCGAATCGGGACAATCGGGACATCATCGGAACACCAATCAGGGCACCAATCGGGACACCACCAGGACACCACCCAGACATCATCGAAACACCACCAGGACACCATCAGGACACCAATCGGGACACCAATCGGGGCACCAATCGGGGCACCAATCAAAACACCATCAGATCACCATCGATCTCACCATTGACCTCATTATCGATCTCATCATTGATCTCACTATCGGTCTCACTCGTTCGATCCCACCGTCGCTCTCACCTGGACTGTCGCGACGCGCGGTTGCCTGGCGCAGGAAGCTGCTACACGCGCGTTGTGCCTCTGGGTACAGCCATTCATGCTAGCACAATGCCGACGGCACTGTCGAGTCCCGTGGCCTGGATTCGCACGGCGAACGCATTATTCCGGCGTTGGGCGCAGGGCTGAAATACGTGGCTGATTGGCATCCACATTTGCTTCTGCAAGCGTCGCTCGACGGCGATTCGATGTGTTTGCTGACATTCGGCGGGGTGGAGCAATGCAAAATCCAACCGATGCCCGACGCGTCGCTCTGAAACATCGCGCACGCGCAGCGGGCTGAGAATTGGAGCATAAGAAGTCAATACGAAAAGCGCGGGTAAGTGAAGCCAAGGCGTTGGCCGCGGCACGACAAGCCGATTTTCCAAGCCGTCCACGCTGCCGCCCAAAGCCTGGTGCGGACGGTCTGGCTGTCTTCGTTTTCCCTCAGCTCGCAGCAGACAGAGCTGGGCTTCGCGCTGCCCCCCGCCAGATCGTTCAACATCGACCAGTTCTGGGTCGCCGGCGGCGTTCAACCTGGAACGCCAGCGGCGGGGTCGCCGCCAGTCGACACGACGCGAACCTGCCGTTCCTGTTTCGCCCATGTCGGTCGCACCGTTAGCTCGGGCACGCCCTCCTGCAAGCGGATTTCGGAAGGAAAGCGAGAAACAGATGGAAAAGAAAGCAAACATTGTCAAAAACAAAAAGAAAGATCGTCCCCGGAGAAGCTTGCGACTATCCTCGAAGATCCCTCCTGTAAAGGGACACAACCGATTCCGTCGCAGCGATCCGTGCGGTCCTCCTCCTCCTCCCCCGCCCCCAAACCCCCCCCCTGCCCTTGGGCGGCGGAGGCGGCGGCGGAGGCGTGCGCTCCGCGGCGTCGAGCTCTCCGTTGCAGTCCAGGTCCTCGAGGGGGAGGGGGTGGGGGAGGGGGAGGGGGAGGGGGAGGGGGAGAGGGGAGGGAGGAGAGGAGGAGGAGGAGGAGGAGGAGGAGGAGGAGGAGGAGGAGGAGGAGGAGGGATGGAGGAGGAGGAGGATGAGGAGGGAGGAGGTGGAGGAGGGGGAGGGGGAGGACAAGCCAGGTGCGCTCGCGTCCTATCTGACGTCCTACCCCTCCCATCCTTTTCCATGGCGCAGATCTCCGCTGTGTATGTCGCAGCATGACGTAGCATCACATGGCACAGCACGGTGTTGAAGATCAACGCGTAGCATGGCATAGCATGGCGTGGCGACGCACCAAAGTGGGGGGGGGCTTCTGCGGCCCACAAAATCAGAGAATCGACACCGAATGTGTAATCACTTCCGATGGGTTCTTTGGGATGCATGGTCTTTAAGGACCGAAAGCCATGCCGAGGCATGGCGTGCCATGCCATGACGCTGCAGCGGGAACACGATTCGGAACGAGCCTGAAGCGCGGAAATGAGGCCATCGCTGCAGCGGGAGCACGATTCGGAATGAGCGGTAGCTCGAAAATGAGGCCAGCGCTTCAGCGAGAGCAGCAATTTGAATATAAAAAGCCCAAACGCGGAAGCGCGGAAATGAGGACGCGTAGATGGCGTGGCGACGCCTCAAAGTGGGGGTCTTCTGCGGCCCAAAAAATCAACGAATCAGCACCGAGTGTGTAATCACTTCCGACGGTTTTTTTCGGGGTGGCATTTTTTGAATTTTTGGGCCATCTGGAAGGACCGAACACCATACCGTGGCATGGCGCTGGAAATAATGACGCTAACGCTGCAGCGGGAGCGCGATTCGGAACGAGCGGTAGTCCGAAAATGAAGCCAGCGCTTCAGCGAGAATAGCAGTTCGAAAGAAATCAGCGCGGAAACGCAGAAATGAGGATGCGTAGCCTGACATAGCATGGCATAACTTCTGCGGTTAAAAATCAACGAATCGACACCGAGTGTGGAATAACTTCGATGTTTTTTTCGAGGGGTATTCAAATTTTGGGGCCTATTTGGAAGGACCGAAACCATGCCATGGCCTGGTGCTGGAAATAATGACGCTACTTAACGCTGCAGCGAGAGCACGATTCGGAACGAGCCGGAAGCGCGGAAATGAGGGCAGCGCTGCAGCGGGAGCACGATTCAGCGAGCGGTAGCCCGAAAATGAAGCCAGCGCCTCAGAGAGAGAGCAGCATTTTGAAAAACAACCCAAGCGAAAACTTAACTCCTCGAAATCCTGTGTAAAGTAAAAAAACAGTGCGCGGAGGGGGTCCGAATAATCCCCGGGCGCCAGTAGGGGGGAGAGGAGAGTAGTGTTCATAGTGCTTGCTTGCGGTGGCGAGGAGACGGAGAAGGAGGAGGAGGAGGAGGGGTGCAGGGAGGGGTGACGGGAGAAACGTCGCTGGCGCGCCGAGGGGGGAAGCCACAGTGCGCGGGCCTCCTCGGAGACCGGCGGGGCCTCTTGGAGGCCCTCCGGCCCTCCGGGACGCCGCCGGCCCTTCGGAGGGGGGCCGAGGAGGCCTCTCCGAGGGCCGAGGGCCGTCTGAGCCTTCCGAAGCGGGCCTGCCCCTCTGCCTGGCCCCCTGGGCGCGCCGCCAAGTTGCCAAGGGGGGGGGAGGTCCTCCTTCTCCTCCTCCTCCTCCTCCCCCTCCTCCTCCTCCTCTCCTCCTCCTCCTCCTCCTCTCTCCTCCTCCTACTCTACTCCACCTCCTCCTCCTCCTCCTCCTCTCCTCCTCCTCCTCCTCCTCCTCCTCCTCCTCCTCCTCCTCCTCCTCCTCCTCCTCCTCCTCCTCCCCCTCCTCCTCCTCTGGGGGCCGATGTTGGGGCGAGCGTTCCTCTCCCCGCCTCCTCCGTCCCTCGCCTGCACAGCTCGAGCAGGGGATGGACCACAAGATTGATCAGCCCCGCATGGGGAGGTTCCGGCCGAGTCTACGAAGCGTGTGGAATCTCGATACTCGCGTCTGGAGACTGGGCAGAGATCCGAAAGCTGAGGAAGGGCTCCCAGGCCAGACAGGGCCGCATGAGGGACGCGACTGGCGCGATCGTGGACAGCGACCAGCGCGCGGACGCTGGCGGAGTAATCCTCCCCGAGAATTGAGCTGTGCGGCTGGTGAACGCCGTGGGCAACCCATCGCCGATAGGCCTGGACCTACCGGTGGCCAATGGGCCTATTCGATCTGAAGAACAGCGCCGTGCAGAAAATGAAACAGAACAGAGCCTCCGCGGACGACGACATTCCCGGCGAGTTCTGAAGGTGGTGCGCAGACCGGACACGGCAGCGTGCGAATGGGCCACGAAGTTGTGCAACAGATGCTGGGCCGAATAAGCTGATACTGACGCCTAGAACGAGGTTATGATGATCGCCCCGTTTGAAAAATGGACTCGGCCGACTGCGCCAGTAAGACCCATCACTCTGTTGCTGATCGGAAATGTTGTACGCAACTGTGCCACCTAACCGTTTGAGCGAAGCAGGTGCAAAACGGACATTATGGAGCAACCAGTTCGGATTTCGGTTGGGCCACGGCACGAAAAACGACCTGTTCATAGCTCGACGTCTGATCGAAAAGTGTTTCAGAATTCCGTTCGGGCAATTTTGTGATGTTGGCGCTAGACTTAAGTCGGGCCTGCCCCTCTACGGGGAATCCGCCGACCCTGTCGGCGTGTGGAAGATGCTTTTCCGTTCGTCGTGAACGTCGTCGTCGTCGTCGCCGCCGTCGTCGTCGTCGTCGTCGTCGTCGTCGTCGTCGTCGTCGATGCTCTTCCGTTCGTCGTCGTCGTCGTCGTCGTCGTCGTCGTCGTCGCGATCCCCTCAGGCGCGCCAGCCACATCGAAACCAACGCGAAATCGAGCAACGTCGTAGCTGAGTCGAAGGCAAAGCGAAATTGAGCAACGTCGTAGCTGAGTCGAAGGGAAGCCCCTTCCCTTGGTCCCGGGGGGGGGGGGGCAGATACGCATCCCCCCCAGGATGTCCCGGGACCTAGAAAAGCCCCCAGACTGGCCAAGAGTGCCCCAAGAGGCTTCCAAGAGGGCCCCGGATCGCCGAACCATCGGTCGAAGACGCCAAAGTAGCCTCCAGACGGCCCAAGAGATTGCCAAGACGCTCCAAGAAGTCTCCAAGAGCACTCCCAAGAGGGCACGAAGAGGGAAAAACCAATGATTTCCTTGAAGTTTTTGACAGATTTTGGCGTTCTCGTCGTTTCAACATGCCGACGCTCCAAGACGGCCGCAGATGCCCCAAGATTGCCCCAAGATAGCCCCAGAGGCCTCAAGAGAGCCCCAAAATGACCTCAGAGCCTCAAGACCGCCCAAGATGCCTCCAAGATGGCACCACGAGACCCCCAAGAGGCCCCCAGGAAGCCCCAGGAGGCCCCCCCCCGCCACATTAGAAAACGCATGGGTCGCCCTTCAGGGTCGGCGGCACCGGCCGTAAGGCCTTCGCAATATCCAAAAATAGTTTAAAACAAATACTTGGGGGGACTATTTGTTTAGCATGTTTTGACCATTTTGGAATATTTGTTGAGTATGTTTTATTTTTCTTCGGAAATCCCCCTGTAGAGGGAGAGGCCCGACTTAACGCTAGACTGGGCGAAAGCGTTCGACAACGTCCAACGACAGCCTCGTGGGGGCGCTCGTCCGCTTCGGCGCGACGTGCGGGCTTGCAGAGGCAATTCGGGCTGTATGCTCAGGCGGGTCTTTTCGAGTTCGCGACGCCGGGGCAACGTCTGTGTCGAGACCTCAAGCACTCGGGGTGTCCCTGGGATGTCCTCTAACACCTTTCTTGCCTTCATTCGTCATGACTGTTTGATGCACGCCGCCACCCAGGCGTTACAAGCGCAAGAGCTGGTCAAAGAGCTTGGCATCCCTGTCAACGAGCTCATTTATGCAGATGATGCGCTTGTGGTCGGCGTGCGAGACGTGATCGCAAACAAACTGATGCACGAAGCTCAACGAGCGGGATCGGACTACGGTCCAGCCTTCAACCAATGCAACATTGAAGTCATGCCGGTCAGTGGTGGGACAACCCTCGTCAAGCCAGATGGTCAAAGAACGCGTCCAAGACAAGGACAGCATGGTGTACTTGGGCTGCTTGCTGATCTGGACGGAAAAACTGGGTCGCCAGCTCGGCATGGCAATTTTCGGCTTTGAAACAATGTGTAAAATATGAAAGCATGCTGTGCGCACGTTGCGCAAGAAGGTGGCGATACTCGAACATTGCATCATGTCGAAACGAGTGTGATGCGTTCACACACTCCTCGCTGGAGTGCGCAGAATGCAACAAACTTGATGCATGCCAAGCCCGTTGCCTATGGCGGCTTGCAAGTGCTGGCCACTCCTACTAAGCAGCCCCGCGGTGCTGCAGCATTGCGGCGTGCAGAAAGTTAGTGCAATGACCATGCTCACGCAGCTCGTGCTCCTGGGCCACATCGCCTGGATGCCCCACGAACGTCCAATACGACGACACGTGTTCCGCCCCGACGCCTGCGACCTTGTGCCGCCAGCGGCTCGGCGGAGGGGCGAGCCGCGCAACCCCTGGAAGGAAAAAGCACACGCGCTCGCGTGCAGCGCCGCGGCCGGCGGCAGAGGGCACCGGAACGCATCATATGGGGCAGCGCCCCGGCAGGAAGAGGAGTGAGGTCGGGCATGTCCCCCTACAGGCGGGTGTCGGAGGGAAACATAAAAAATACCCAACAAAGATAAAAAAATGCAGAAACATAGTCCCCCTACCATGGTTTGACTATTTTTGCACCATCCTCCTGTAGAGGGACACGCCCGACTTAAGAATAGAATGGCCCACGTGTGCCGGACACGTCTTTGCTCGGACCTCCGTCCGTCTGTTCCCTGGCCTCCGTTCGTCCCGCCCCTCCCCCCATGTTTCCCCGCCGGTTCTCTTCATGATACCCAGCAGGGGGTCGTGATGTGAGATTCTAGCACGTGTCTTAGGGGCGGGGTAAACTCTCACGGGCTGGTTGTCGGCCCAGCTCGCCCGCCCGCCGGCCCTCGGGGTGGTGTCGCCGTCCCGCGTGGGTCCTCAGCCTGCTCTCTCTCTCCCTTGCTCGCCCAGGCTGAGGCTCGGTCTCCGCCCTCCTCCCCTCCTTGCGACTGTCGCTCCTTGTCGCTCGCTCTCGTCCTTCCCCCCGGGTTCTGGGATCGTCCTGGTTCCCGGATGTCGTTCCCTCCTCTGCGCCCTGCTGCCTTTGCTCTCCCTGGTCGTCCACCCTGCGGGCTTTTTTGAAGTGGGGGTAATGAATGTCGAGATTTCCTCGTTCCTAGGGTGACGTCACGCGGTGACGTCTCAGTGCATCGCAGCCGTGCTGCCAGCAGCGGGTTTGTTGCACCTTTTCTGACGCGCAAGGCCTTTTTTTTCGTTCTCTATTTTTTTTTTTCTCTCTCTCTCTCTCTCTCTCTCTCTCTCTTTCTCTCTCTCTCTCTCTCTCTCTTTGTCCCATGCAGGGCTTTGCTGAAGCGTTACAGAACAATGTATAGTGTATGCTGTTCCAGCCAATTCTGCAGGCGACAGGTGTTGATAACAAATGATACACTGTGATTGGGCCGCTAGTGGACGATAACATAATTTGGTGGACATGGTCCTGGCCCCGAAACCTCGAAGCTTGAACCCCTGAGCTAGAGGCCTCCTAGAATGAGTCCTCGGAGGACTGCACCGCATCGGCGACGTCTCTGCGAGGCATCAGCGATGCATTGGCGACGTCGGCGATGCATCGGCGACGTCGGTGCGCCGGTATAGGGAACACTGGGCTCCTCATGGAGCCGCATCGGCGATGCATCGACGATGCAATGGCGATGCCAAGGATATGCGGCGCGATCCTCCGACCCCACCTACTTCGACCCCATCTGTCGGGGATGGACAGACCCCCCTTTAGTAAAACGTGGTTTAGTGAAAACGACCTGAGGCCAAAACCTGGCGGGCGCAAGCCTGGAAAATAACGGCCACGGCGCCCTCTCGAGAACCGAAAACGGACAATTCACTAATCGACGTGTCACTCTTGGGGGTTCTGTCCACCCCCGAATCTGGGAGGCCTAGATGAGCCTATCCCGCCCCTGCAGTGTCCATCTTCCGGAAGGTCGCGCGCAGCTCCCTCGCGTCCTCCTGGGCCTGCCTCCGCGCCTTGCGGGGGGGGGGGGGCGCCGGCGCCGGAGGGCAACACCCACGGAGAGCCGGCGCTGGCGAGGAGAAGCCGGGGCGTCGTCGTCGTCGACCATGTCGTCGTCGTCGTCGTCCATATCGTCGTCGTCGTCGTCGTCGTCGTCGTCGTCGTCGTCGTCGTCGTCGTCGTCGTCGTCGTCGTCATCGTCGCTGGAGGACGGAGGCGGGTCACGAGCGGCGCGCACATCTCCGTAGCCGCGCCCTCGCGGGCCTGGGCTCCGGGGAGCGAGTGCCGCGGGGCACGTGGCCCTGCGGATAGGCGTCCCGCGCGGGGGCACCCGCGAGGGCGGCCGAGGACCGAGGAACGAGCGAACGACCACTTGGGCGTGACTGCACCCTCCGCAGCCCCAGGGGGCTCGTTTGGGTAGCGTTTGGGTGCCTTTTCGGACCACACCCTCGCCGCCACCCCAATGATGACCCCCCCACTACGCGACGCCCAAACCACCGCTGCGGACATGCGTCCGGGCCCAGCTCAGACCGGATGGGTGAGGCCGCAGCATCTGGACTCTGGCGCGCCTGGACACGCGCAGTGCGAGAAGGATAGAAAGGTAGGAGGAGGAGGAGGAGGAGGAGGAGGAGGAGGAGGAAGAGGAGGAGGAGGAGGAGGAGGAGGAGGAGGAGGAGGAGGTCCTCGGAGTCGGTGTAGGCGCATGTGTCGTCTCGCGTGCTCGCCGTTGCTGGGACCGACGATCGAAGAGAGGACATGGCATGAAGGAAACGGGTCTCGAGGGAAGCGCGTTCTGGACCCCGTGCCTTCCCCCAGGACCCGATCTTCATCGTGAATCGTTTTCTGACGATCTCAATGGCGGACCCCAGGAGGCCGACAACGGCGAAACACCTTGGGACCCGGTTCCTTCATGGCGAGGGAGCGGGGGGGGATCGAGGAGATCGCCAGGAGGTCGCGCGCAGCTCCCTCGCGTCCTTCTGGGCCTGCCTTCGCGCCTTGAGGTGCGCGGGCGCCAGCGCCGAAGGGGGCACACACCCACGGAGAGCAGGGGAGGGTGACGAGGAAGACGATGGCGAGGAGGAGGAGGAGGAGGAGGAGGAGGACGACGACGACCAGGACACGACGAGGGGGGGGGGATGACGATGACGAACGCTACATCCCTGCAACTGGAGCTTGTCCACAGTAGCAAATGGCGACGATGAGGACGAGGAGGGGGAGGCATGAGTCCTGCCTGCCACCCCTCCTCCGCGCAAGCTACGCTGCATCCCGACCTGTCGAAAACACATCTTCCTCGCCGACATCCAAAACAAAACCGACGGCAAAACTGTTGTTGCACTGAGGGAGCTCTTCGAGGTGACGAGGCTCGGAGGATCCTGTTCGAAGAACGTGACGCTTGGTGGCTGCTTCTGCCTCCTCCCTTCGGTCGTCTGGACATCTCCAGGTGCCGTCAGAACATTTCCGGCATGTCCAGAAACCTGAAGGGACCTTCAGCAGATGCGACGTTATGTTCCAGCGAACATTTGGATTACCAAAAACCGAACATCGAAAATGATGGATCAACCTCGCAACCAAGCAATATACCTAAATCCCAATCTCCCGTGACTTATCACGTCGCCTCACCACTTCTCCAACGTCATGTTCACGCATATTCTAAAATGCGTCATCCATTTGGCGATTCACACTGGTCACTCCCTGGCCCATGCACGAACCAGCCCCTGAGCCTCTGGTCGTTCTCTGCATGGCAGGGCCGTTGCCGTTGCCGCGCAGCCGAACCGGTGCGATCCCCGGCCCAGTCGTCTCCCTCATCGTCCACTTCGCCTTCCTCTTCCCTACCAGGGGATACGTCAACCCCTATCCCAGGCTTCCTGTGATGTTCGAATGGACCAGAAATTTGGAGCCCAACCCTGGAATATACGAGGGGGAGCGTTCATCCTTTATAAGGGTTGCGTCCGGGCAGCCCCCTCGGGGTGCATCCCAAGGTTTCCCCCTTGTTCTGAGCGGCCAGAAATCTCGGGCGGAACTAGGGGGTTGGGGGAGAAACATCGCTTTCGATTCCCGCTACTGTGGAGGCCAGTCCACAAGAAACCTTCCACGAGAAACCCAACCCTGAGACCCCAGGACGTCCATGGATGCTTGGCGTGGGAACTCCACGCCCTCCATAGCACAGCTGCCAAAGCCCAAGCAACCCAGGGCACCTTGGGGGCATGCAGGGTGTTTCTTGTCATGTGTCCCCACTGCACTGCCACGCTCGCCCTGGAGCTCGGCGATCTTCTGACCCGGGTCAATCCAGACCCGGGTCAGCAGGAAACAAAAAACTGCAATGCAGGAACAAAAACTTGCAGCGCAGGTCTTCGCAAACCCGGGTCAGCCAATAGGCGCGGCCGCCTCGCGGCCACGAGCGGCTCGCTGACCCGGGTCAGCCACAGGGGGTCTTCGCAGGATCCTGCAAGATCTGGCGCTCTGGCTGACCCCTGTTTACATTGACCCCCGTCTCAAGGCTCCCGAGGAGCGCCCCGAGGTCGCCCACTGGGGGCCCCAAGCATCAAGTCGGGCATGCCCGTTCCTCTACAGGAAAAATCGAAAAATAGAACAGCAAAAAATGGGGACGATATTTCTATTAGTTTTAACCACTATGCAAAAATGTTAGACTGTTTCTCATTTTTCGCCCCCAAATCGGCCCGTAAAAGGACATGCCCGACCAACCCCAAGCAGGCCACCCAGCGCCCACGGCGCAACACGGCCCAAGCTCGCAGAGTGCCTACTCGCAGCCAGACGTCCAAAGTGCCTGCTCGCAAACGTCCAACAGAGAAGCCGCTGCCCGATGCCACGGAGCCTGTGTGCCTCCATGCAGTGGATCCGGGCCGTTTGCTCGCAAAGTGCCTCCTCGCAAACGTCCAAAAACAACGGCCGTTCGACGCAGTGGGGCCATGTGCGAGCAGCTCTTCCGCGGGGCGACCCGCCGCGCGGCCGCGCTGCCAAGATATCCTCCCCCGCCGCCGCCCCGGCCCTCACGGCGAGCAGCGGGCCGCGGAGGCCTCGACCCGCCGTCCACCGCACCGCCGACAAGGTCTCGACCCGGGAGGCCCTCCCCCCGCCGAGTCGGCACGCGGTGCGGCCACCGCACCGCTCGGGGGCCCCCGAGGTGCACCCGAGGCGGGGCGCCCCGAGGGCGGGGCGCCCCAGGGAGGGGGGGGGGAGGGGGCAGGGGCGGGCCTGCTCCGAGAGGGCGGCGAGGCTCCTCAGAGGCCCTCGCGGCTTCTGCTAGGCGGGGCGTGTCCTCCTACAGGCGGATTTTGGACGAACGCAGCATATCGAGAAAAACACACCAAAATAGTAAAACAAACAAACAAATGGAGGCATCGTCCCCAGACTATTTTTTTACTATTTTTGAATATTCCTCCTGTAGAGGGGCAGGCCCGACTGAACCCCGGATGGGGGGGGAAGTGGATCTCAGCAGGCCTGCTCCAAGAGGGCGGCGAGGCTCCTCAGAGGCCCTCGCGGCTTCGGGCAAGACCCAGAAGACTTCTCACAGAAGGCTTCGGTCGGGCGTGTCCTCCTGAAGGAAAATTCTGGGCAAACAAATACACACACGTACACTTTTCTAATATTCGTCAATGCCCGAAAAGCCAAGAATAGTCCCCCTACTTAACATAAGGCCGGGGAGGCCTTCCGAGCCTTCTATGAAGGCCCGCCCCTCTCCTTCCCACAGGCTCCCCGACGAGCATTGCATCGGGCTGCATCGGCACGGAGTGGACATCTAACCAGGTCTGCAAATCTGTTCAGCCCGTATCACAAGGATGCGCGGCAAGGGTGCAAGGGCCTTGGAGGCCCATGCTAGCGTTCTTCGAACGAGGTTGGCCGGCCAAAGTCGCTCAGGATGGGGCGAAGGGGCAAGGATGCATGGGTAGCCCTGGAAAAGGATGCCCATATCCTTGCTAGTGCGGGTTGACTGTATTCCCTGGGACCGGCTTATCTCATCCTGGGGAAACGTCTGACCGCCCCAGGGCCTGGCGAGGCCCCCCGGAGCCCGAAAGTGACAGACAGCCTTCCGCCGCCATCGTGTCCACGACGCGAGGGGGCCAAGGTGGGTTTTCGATACTCGCTCTGGGGATCTTCTTGGAGGCACTCGCTCCACTCATACGTCGACGCCGCGTGGACTCGAACCAGTCGAACTTGCGCCGATCTCGAGCCGAACTCGAGTCGAACTCGAATCGAGCTAGGACCAGGACCTACGTAGAATCGAGCAGCTCTGTTGGGTGGGCCCCAGAGAAGGTCCCCCCAGTCGAGCATCGAAGGGGCAGGAGAGGAGACAGGGCAGGGCGGGGCCAGGCGACGTGGTGAGGACAAAGACGCCAGCAGGGGGCGGCGAGCGAGGCGGGGGCAGGGACCCCGTGAGGGCTTCGGGGGCCCCGCACGCCTCGCTGACGATGGCCTCGTCGGAGGGCTTGGCCAGCTTGAGGGCGTGGTCCACGAAGGTCGACGTGACCACGTTCCTGTAATGCAAGGCGCCGCATGCTAAGAGGATGCAGAGGGAGCGATGCAGCAAGGCTCCAAGGGCGTCCGACTCGGGACCCGCGGCAGGGGCATCCTTGCGGGGCTGGCCAATCTCTCTCCCTCTCTCCTCCTCCTCCTCCTTCTCCTTCTCCTTCTCCTCTTCCTCGTCCTCGTCGTCCTCGCCGTCCTCGTCGTCCTCGTCGTCCTCGTCGTCCTCCTCCTCCTCCTCCTCCTCCTCCTCCTCCTCCTCCTCCTCTTCCTCTTCCTCTTCCTTCTCCTCTTCCTCCTCCTCCTCATCCTTCTTCTCCTCCCCCGCTCTCTCGCCCCCCTCCTCCGCCTCGCTCTTCTCCTCCTTCTCCTCCTTCTTCTCCTCGTCCTCCTCCTCCTCCTCCTCATCCTCCTCCTCCCTCCTCGTCGTCGTCCACCTCCTCCTCCTCGTCCTCGTCCTCGTCCTCCCCCTCCTCCT